ATATCCGCCCACTTGTCCTTAGAACTCCTTCATCATGATGATGATGATGAGGATAATGCTAATGATGACATTGACGATGACGATAATGATGATGGAGACTGTCATGGAAAAGGAGCAGCAATAGCAGTAGTAGCAGCAGCAGCTTTATTCAAATTCAGCATTTTCATGGCATTGGCGTAAAATGATTTTATTGCTTCCTGACTGAATGACTTTTACAACGTCGCCTCAGATTCGCATTCAGATTAACCCAAATCGGATGCTTTGCAGTGCCTGCAGCTTTTCACATCTGCACTACCATATCCACTGCCACTACCACTGCCACTACCATACCCATATCCACTTCGATTTCAATAAAATTCCGCTGACCGTCGAAGGTACACACATGTGAGATGTGCGAATAAATGCCAGCCAGCCAGCCAGCTAACATCGGTCATATATCACCATGGAAGGCCAGTTCATCTGCAATGTGGACTGTGGACCATGCACTCTGCAATCTGTTATCTACAATCTACAATCGGCCATCTGCAATTGCAACAGCTGCAGCAACATCAGCAACATCGAGCAACATGCAAAATAGGCAGCTGTTGCATTCAAAAAAAGTCTGCAACAAGCTTGCCAAAATAATAAAAGAAATCGCTAGAAAATAGTATAAAAATAACTATTTAATAGTCTTTTGGATTTTAAGTTTATTATTTATTAAAAGATTTATTTAGATTATTTATTAATTACTTTGATTGTTTAGTTTTTAAGAAAATACAGACAAGGGAATATATAGTTTTTATCAAATATATCAAGCCTCAAAAAGCCTTTTATTTAGACTCTATTTTAGCCTATTTATTATAGCTTTATCCTTTGCCATCTTTAGTTCATTAAAGGCCAAACCGGAAACTCAATTAACTAATTGCCAAAAGTGGCAGCACACACTGACAATTGGTTTTCCCATTTGGAAGTTACCCATAATGATGATGACTCCTTTGTAAACAGATTGGTGTGGTCCTGGTCCTGGTACTGGTACTGGTCCTGGGCCTTCTATTATAATTATATCGGTTAAATCCAGAATGCATTCAACATCCATGTAGTATGGGGGCAAGAGGCATATGGGCGTATAATTATCATTGAATGGTTTGCATTTTGAGGTTTACTTTTGCGGCCATAATCACTTTGGATGAAACGGAAATATATGGAAAAACCGCACTTATTATTACTGATTATGATGTGATTATGCAAAGCGTTTGGAACCAGAAACCCATATACATATATATTATATAGAACACACACTCGTATTATACATCTTTGATGTCTGAAAGTACTAGCCTGAAATCGGCTTAGGAATTGAAATGAAAATGCTTCTGAAATTGGGGGCTTCCGACTTTGGATGGGACTTTAGGTTGATGAAACCCTGTACCTGCAACTTGGTATAATCAAGCAAACTAAACTCACCTGAAATTTAAAGCCCCAGAACCCCAGAAAACATAATTTAAGTAGCTATCCGAGGCTGGGTCCAGGGTGATGCTGGGTAATGCTGGGCGAGGTGGGGATCTGACCCATAATCCAGAAGCCACTCAAACTGTTGAACACTTAATTTGGCCGAGCAAACTTTTGACTAGCGCCAGTTGCAAATGCTGCACGTGTCCATGTTCCAGCCAGCCAACTTGCCCCCGCTGCCAAAGTCTGCACAGCGAGAAAATCTGTAATAGGATTAATTAATAGTAATTTTAAAAATTTAATTTAAAGGGTAATTTTAAGGTTGATGTTCTAAAATACCTAATAGTATGTTATATTAGCACTACACCCCTATAAGTCTGTACTATCCTTTAGATTTAAGAACTAGAAATATTATAGAACTGTAATGTACCAAAACACTTAAAAATTTGTAAAAATAAAACAATAAATTATAACCATAAAATCATAAATAAATTTTACTGATTTTTTTTTATAAAAAGTTTAACAAAAAAACATTAAGCCACTATTAAAACTGAAATAATTCAAAGTAAAACCAATATATAATAATTTATCTTTAAAAAAAAATGTATAAAAAACATACAGCTCTATTCTTGAATATCCCTATATATTCTGACGTATTTCTGTCGATTTTTTTCTCCTTAAAAACAAGAAAAAACAGTTGGGACTGCAAAAAGTATGCTATATTTTATGTAGAAGTCTCTCTGTTTGATCGCTTTCCTCAAAATTAATCATTAAAATTAAACCAATTGGCTGAAAATGAAATGCATATTTAAAATGCATTATTACTATAAGCTATTCGTTTATTATGCCAATAAAACAAAAAAAAAGGTAGCTCCGAGAATAAAATATTCATGGGGGCGAGTGTGTGTGGCAGCTTTTTCGTACAGTGTGCCCCCCAAATGAATGTCTGTGCGTGGTAGGCCACTGGAGTTCAGGTTGGGCAACGAAGTGGCCTCGTTTCTCGCTCGCTCATCAGCCAGAGCGGGACATGAATGGGATGGGGTGTCAGTATGAGTGCGATGCAGGATATACATAAGTATGTATGTATAGGGATCTGGGATAGCAGGTCCATCACTCGTGGGCTAAATCCACACACTGAGCACACGTGCACACTCTTGACCTTTATATCAATTTAAGCGAGCCCCGTAAAACCATAATAAATTATTTGCTTTTGTTTTTGTTTCCTTTTTTCATGCATGTTCACTGTACCTTACTCTATGGATGTATGTATGTCCTTTTACATCGCACATGAATGTATGTATGTGTGTGTGTGTGTGTAAGTGGAAAACGAAAGTGTCACACACAATTACATTCATTTGTCGTTGTTTTTAGCTCGCTCATGCAACGAATAAAATGGTTAAAATTCTTCTAATTGTCGCCCAAGTGCACTCGTCTGTCTCTTTTTTTCTTTTCTTCTCTCTCTCTCTTTGGCTCTTTCATTGTTTTTTGTCATTATGCATGCAAGAGCAACAATGACACACGACAAGGGCAGACATTTTTCTTAAACGCCCCAAAAGAGAAACCGTTGCTGCTCCATCGGGAAATGTCTCCCCTTCCCTCCCCCGTCTCTTTTCATTTGCTGCTCTGGCTCCTCTTCGTTTTTTTTTTTTTGCAGAGTCCTTGGTCTCTTTGGAGCCTCCCCCTCCCTTGTCGACTGTCTGGAATGCTCTTGCACGTTTGCAATTTGGACACACAACTTTTTCCCGTTACGTGTTTCATTTGCTTCGGTTTTTTGGCGAGCTGCACGCCCACTTTTCTTTTCTTCTTCCTGCCCCCTGTCCCCTTTTTCTTTTTTTTTGTTATCTTATTTTGGAGACAACGCCTTAATGAAGAGAACTCCTCGATCTCTCCTGTCTGGCACATTTCATATATATTTCTTATATATGTATATGTATATGTATGTGTGCGGGTGTTTGTGTATGCTCTCTTAACTTTCGCTCAAGTTCTGTTTGCACTTTCCATTTGCCACTTGCCACTTGTCATTTGCATTTTAACAATTTTAACGCCTCTGATCGAAAACTGATAGGGGCGTGAGCAAATTGCACTGATTACTTCTGCATTTTGCCGGAATTCCCAACGGGGCGAAAAGGGAGAGGGAGAAAGAGAGAGGAGCGAGCAGAGAAGGAACCAGAAACAATCTTCAGAGTTGCTGTGCGAATTAAATCGTTCGACTTTAGGCAACTCTAAAGGGAAATCGATAAATATAAAATAAATAGCTTAAATCGATAAATAAATAAAGTAGCTTAAAAATTTACTAATTTTTGTATGATTATTTTATTAATTTTAGAAAAAACTTGTAAATGTTGTAAAATTTTCAAAGGTGTACCAAAAAATATCCGTCCTTTTCGAGAAATCCTCTAGAAATGCCATGCCCGAGAAAACCCTAAAAATTGTGACTCTCAGAACCTGAGAAGCCAAATGACTTTTCCGGATTTTTCCCAGGAGCCTAGCCTAGACAGAATCGAAGCCACACCCTACCCCCCTGGCCACATGGCATATGCCAACTTGCCACCTTGCCACCTTGCCACCTGCCCCTTTCCCCCTAAAAACTAGTCTGTTGAAATCCAAAAGCAAGTGCATCGGTTGCAGTTTGAAATTTGAGTAAAATAAATGAAGTTGCATTTGCCAGCACGTCGCAATTGATGAGCTGAGATATGTATGTATGTATGTGTGTGTGTGTTTGTGTGTTTGGTGAGTGTCTGTGGAGTGTTCACTGTACTTGCAGTGGCACACTTTTTGCTGTCGCATCAGCGACACTCGTAAGTAATTCAAGTGAAACCACATTAAGCTTACTTTGCTAATTGCAAGCGACACGTCGCCAATGTCGAGTGTTGGAGGTTGCCACACAGTCAGCTCACCAGCTCGGCACCTTGCCCCACGCCACCCACTCAGCTACCCCGCCATCCTCTTATCAACATAAACGTGACATCTGTGTGGCAAGGAGTTGGAGTTGCACCACCACCACCACCACCACCAGCAGCAGCAGCAGGCCAATCATTTTAATTAATTTGTCAGAGTGTTGGTAACACACAAAAATTTATTATACCCCACCAAAAAACGACAACGACGCGACCCTTTTTTAACGCCATCCCAACGCCCCTGGCCAAAGAATCCAGCAAACTGCAGAAAATTAAGATTTTCCCCAAGTGTCTATGGGTATGTGAGTGTGGTGTGGGTGTGTGTTCTGCGGCTGTGTGTGTGTTGGCCCGGAAATCAGTGTAAACGCGCCTTGGGAACAAAACTTTTGATTACGAAAACCAAGAAAATCAATTCCAGCCAGAAAGACAACATTTGATTTAACCAAGAGTGTGACCAGATCTTTAATTTTTTCGATACTTTTCCAAAAACACAAAAAAAACTTAATCGAGCTTCTTAAATTAAAGTTGGCCAAAGATTATCGTTTACATAGTGTCATAACTAATTTGTCAGAACAAAAATTGCAAGCTGCCGAGATGGATGAAAATTGTGAAAAAAACGGAAAAATTTTAAATCGTCACTTAATCGTCCAGAATAGTTGGAAAACTTCGCAATCTACCATGGTTCTAGATCAGTTTCGTGAAATTGGCATTCAAGATGGCTGGAAATATGTGCCCACTGTTCAAGAATTGTGTCCTCCGTACTTTAAGACTGTGGAGATTCCGGAAAAGAACCTTCTGCTGACTATAGTCACCGATAAGACTCTCTACGCCCAACACCATAATGTGGTATGGCAGAAACCACGTAGGGGTAAGTTCACGATTGCGGGAAATTATAAGATCGGGGAGAAAGTGCTGAACGGTAAAGTCATTCGGAAGACGGAGAAAGAGCCGTGGCAGGCAGTCTACAAGATGAAGGCGCTGATGAAACAGGAGTTTAAGCAGTTGAAAGAGCTAGAGAAAGCTAAGAAAAATGAAGAAAATCACGAGCCGGAGGACATGGAATTGGAAACAAGTGATGAAGATTCCGATACTGATACATCTACCACCGGATCTGAGAAAAGTGGAGAAAACGAGGAGGAAAGTGACAAGGACAACGAGAAGGAGAGTGATAATGATGACGAGGACAAAAATGACGAGAAGGAGAAGGAGAGCGGCGAAAACGATGGCGAAGACGATGGCGAAGACGAGGGCGAAGACGAGGGCGAAGACGAGAGCGAAGGCGAGGGCGAAGACGAGGGCGAAGACGAGGGCGAAGACGAGGGCGAAGACGAGGGCGATGACGAGGGCGATGACGAGGGCGATGACGAGGGCGAAGACGAGGGCGAAAAGGAAGAAGGCGAGGACGATGAGGAGGAGAATGACGAAGACGAAGATGACGAGGAGGAGAGTGACGATGACGAAGATGACGAGGAAAAGAGCGATGAAGATGAAAATACCGAAGGAGAGAATAACCACGAGGAGCACGTTGCTTTAAAGCTCAATAGCCCGGAAGCCCTGAAGTTTTGGGATGAGGTAAATCGCAACATTAATATATTTCTACAAGGCGAAAATGACAAGGAGAAGAACGACAAAGAGAAGGATGAGAATGACGAAAATGACGAGGAGGAAGAGAACGATGAAGACGAGGAAGTAGAGATGAAAGAAAAAATGGAGGAAGAGATGCAGTTAGAGGTAAAGGAAGTGAAAGTGACAGATGTAGAAGAAGAAGAAGAAGATGACGAGGAGGAGAGCGATGAAGATGAAAATACCGAAGGAGAGAGTAACTATGAGGACTTGCCAGTTGCTTTACAGCTCAGTAGCCCGGAAGCCCTGAAGTTTTGGGATGAGGTAAACCGCAACATTAATATATTTTTACAAGGCAAAGATGACAAGGAAAAGGCCGACGAAAATGACGAGGAGGAAGAGAACGATGAAGACGAGGAGATAGAGATGAAAGAAAAAATGGAGGAAAAAAAAGAGAAAGAGAGGAAAGTGGAAGTGAAAGAGGAAGAGGAAGTGGAAGTGACAGATGTAGAGGAAAACGAAGAAGAAGAAAAAGAGAATGACAAGGAAGAGAGCAACAAAAATGACGAGAAGGAGGAAAACAACAAAGTTGAGGAGATCGTCGAGAGCAACCAGGAGGAGCCGATCGAAGAAGGACCTTATGGCAACATTTTTGACAATGACGAGTTCCAGGCCAGGGTCCTGGATTTGGCAGTAAGATACCATCCCTTGTTTTCTGCGGATAATGATGAAGATGATGAAGCCGCCTGGATGATGATGGAGGATGACTACGAAGAGGAGAATGATGAAAATGAAATGGAAGAGGAGGAGAACGACGAGAGTGCCGAGGCGATGCTGATTTTTCCCGACAACTTTAATGCTTCCCCCATAATGATGTCGGATGATGAATTGGATCTGGAGGTAAATGCTTTTCCGATATGTAAATATCGGATGATATATTTTATCTTTTTTTAAATTCACAGATTTTGGATCCGGAGGTAAATGATGAATCGTATATCCTTGAACCGGCAGTAAATGCTTCCTTCATACCGATATCGGATGATGAACCGGAAGTTAGTGTCACCATTATGATGGGGGATAATGAAACCGATCCTTTACTAAATTCACAGATCTTGAATCCGGAGGTAAATGCTTTCCCCATAACAATATCGGATGATATATTGTATTCTTTTCTAAATTCACAGATCTTGAACCCGGATGTAAATGCTTCCCTTGCACCGATAATGAATGATGAAGTGCTTATCGTTCAACAGGTTATAACCGTAGTTTTATCGGAGGACGAATACAATTCCTTATCAAATCCAAACAATTCTGAACCGGGGGTAGTAATGGAGGAATTGCTACCCGAATCTTTGTAAAAGAATCCTGCATCCTAACCTGGGAAGAAGGAAGGCTGTGTGGACTTATATACTTACAAATTATACATTCAAAAAAGACTTATATATTAAATGAAAATATATATATACACATTTATAAATCGTTATTTTAAATAAAAACGAATGTTCCTCAGGAATTTCAATCCAGAGTTTCAATTTCACAAAAATCCCCGTTGAGATGTCCTGTCAAGAAGGTGCTGTTGCACTTTTCCTGCACAGCCACCCGCCTAGCGTCCTGGCCCCCCAAAAAGAAAAAAAAAAGGAAAATGTAATGAATTGCCCTAAGTGTTTAGCCCCGCCCACCTAAAGTCCTGCCATCCTGCCATCCTGCAATCCCTGGCATTGCAATAGAAATTGCAATTGCAATTCCTCGCCATTAGCAGAAGTAATAGGCGAGGCGACCCAGAGTGCACTCTAGGTAGTTTCTTATGGCGGCATTTAATGTGTGGCATGTTGCAAGCGGATGGCTGGGCCCCCTGCCCCCCTCCCCTGCCTACTCCAAATGAGTAATTGCATAACACACGACTAATCCCCGGTGAGGGGACTATACATATAGTACACGAATCCCATATATGTATATACACTTGGAATTGCAAGGCAATTATGTCTCTGATTCATCGACTTGACTCGGGCCACGTGTGACTTTCGTAAGCCTCCTGGGTCCCGTCACTTCATCAAACCCACATAGATGTATTATATATGTATTATCTATCGGTATATCAGTGTATCAATGTCTCAATGCTAATTGTATTTTATAGCCAATTGAACAGCTAAGGCTGCCTATAATCGGGGGATTTTGTTTCAGAGGGCTTTGGTTCTTTTGGTCAGAGAGAGAGGGGATTTGCAAGGATCTTGAGGAAGTCTTGAGATAGAAAATAGACTATATAGACTAAAATAGACCACACTATTGACTTAACTACAAGAATATACGAATTCTGGGCTTTAAAGTCAAATAACTTTCTTGTAAAGAACAGAAATACCTTAAAAACCCAATTACCTATAAATTATTTAATAACTAAACCTACTAATAATAATAAATTACTATATAGCCAATAAATACAGCCAATAAATGCCAAAAACTGACCTTACTCACAGATTCAGCTTCAGCAACATGAGTCTGGCCCGCGACCGCCTTTGGCAACATGTTGCCCTGCAAGCTGCAGACTCAGCAACAGAAGGGAAATTGTATCCTTGCCAGAAGACAGTAAAGCAAAGGGGGGCGGGTGGCAGTAGCAGTGATGAAAGTATAAGCTTACCCCAAAAAGTAGGCAAACAAACGGCGCGAAGTCCTTTATCCTTCGGTGAGTGTGTGTCTGTGTGGCGTATGAATTGCAAATGCAAATGAAAATGCTTGAAAATTATATATCATTTTCAGGCAACTTTCATCCAGGGCGTGGCAGTGGGGTTAAGAGTGGGGGGCATGCGTGCTTTGCAAATCACGTCGTAATATTTACAAATGGTTTCTTGTAATTAAATTAACACAAAACGTGACATTGTCACTGTAGCAGATTTTTAAGCGACATTCAGCCACCCACACATGTAAATATACACTCAAACATATACAGATTTATATGTATGTCTGTATGCGTGTACATCCTTATAATACAAATCAAGGCAAGGACAAAAGGCAAAATGGAGAATACAAAGTCCCCAAAGCATTAAGCACAACGACATCTGAAGTTGGGATTCTAAATTGTAACTTTCCTGTCCTTGCATTACTTTACTTTACTTAACTTGACTCGCCTCGGCTTGCCTCGAATTTTCCGGCTTTTCCACCATACCTCCACCTCCTTTTTCTCCTCCTCCCATCAGCCCCCTCTCTAAACACCCTACCATTGTCTCGAAATGAAATTTAAAACATAAATGAGCAAAAGTGCGTGCCTGTGCCTCGTCTCCTGTCTATTTGTGCGTCATTTGGGAGATGTTCAAATGGGTGTGTGTGTGTGGCAAGTTGGGTGTGGAAAGTTATATGGGGGTAAGGTAAAGGGACTACCTTCAACTGTAGTTAGTGTCCCTGTATGTATGTGTGTGTGTGTGGCCTTCCAAAGATTAGGAATGTAATTTACAATTTACAACATGCTCGCAAATAAATGTCGACTTCTTTTTTATACAGGCACTTATGCCACCGAACTGGGGATACCTTCAGCCTACCTCCTTAACAAAAAACACACACAAACACACACACCGTACTACATAGCCCCGACCCTGCCACCTTCTCACGTAGGGACCTCCGAGTTGTGCCACAAAACGATACAATATGTGTATCAAAACACACGACCACATGGCGGGGGAGGGCTGGGAGGAAAAAAAAGCGTTAAGAGGAAGGCGGAGCCAGGTGGCAGGTTCAACCCACCGGAGGCATCATCTGCCGCTGCTGCGGAGCGGAAAGATTGACAGTTGTTGCCACTGAAATGCGCACACAAACAACACAAGCAACACAACAATACAAAAGGCAACAAAAGTTGCCACTGAATAAAGGAAACGAAAATAAAAACCGAGACGCATTCGAATCTAAACAGGGTGCTTGCTCTTTTTTTAAAAAAGAAATCTTAAAGATATTCTTACTTAAGATATTCGTCTTATACTTAGATATATCTTCCAAAAAACCTCTATTTCCTAACTCTTTAATAGTACTCTGTTAAAGTATCACCCTGTGTGGCAAGGACATCAGTCTCGTATGTGTTGGTGAGCTTGTGAAGTAAAAGAAATCTAGAAATTCCTTATCGCACCTCAGTGTGTTGCATTAAGTGGGCCTGTGGCACGGGCACGTTCACACTCCACTACTGCCCTGCTTCAAGAATACAGGACTAAAGGACTCCCGAACTACAGCACCAAAGGACTGCAGGACTTTAGGACACCACCCCTTGCAAGCAAACCGATTAACTACCGGGCTAAAGAATTTTTTTTTTTCACCTGCCACTGGGTGGCACGGGGCATGAGGCAAATGTATCAAGAACGTGATGAGGCTGCCGTGGCAAGAGTGGGCAGAGTTGCAATCGAATGCAATCGTCACGAATCAAATGAAAACGGCATATGTTTTATGCTTGCCACATTTATAAGCCACATATTGGCGGGGGTGGGGCAGGAAACTTTTCGGGGCTTCGAGTATCACAAATCGAATTACACACACTCTCGAAAGTGAGCAACTCATTAAGTTGCGCAACTTCAGGCTCAAATATTAACCAATTCTAATGAGAACTTTAATGAATTTCCAGCCAAGAGCGTGCAACAAGTTGGGGCAACAGCAGAGGAGGCTAAAAGTGGCTAAAAGGCAGGGTTTCAAGTGGCCCAAAAGGTTGCAAGTTAAGTTGGCAAGTTAATTTAAACAAGTGGCAAGTAAAGCCTAGGCAAATATTCCAGTGACGAAAGCTTCACAGCCATCGATAAGCATGCAACTTGGTAATGCACTTCAAGAACCTTGTGGCAACAAAAGTTAAGACAAGTTAGAGTCGTTCAGCCATCTCTTTCTTCAAGTATATCCCTCTCTTTCCATGCCATAAAGCCAATGATAATATTCCAGTGACGAAAGATAGTGAGTCATAGATAAACCCAAAGACTTTATTAGAATCTTGATACTGGGTGGCACATATTTTCTCTTTCTAGTCCTTCATTAACCGTCTCTTTCTTATCGTCTATCCATCTCTTTCACTCAGAAGCAGCAACTGACCCGCTGAAAGGAATTAAGAAAGCCATGGCCGCCAAAACTGAAAGTGAAGTGCATAAATTTTACACCTAATTAAAAAGTAAATGTTCGCTTTATGCAAATCAAGTTGTAACTAAATAAATTACTTCCCCGTTGCCCCACTTGACCCTGCTTTGGCCCCACCCCTTGACCCTGCCACCCCAACTCACCCTACACCCCCTGGAAATCCGCGGTGTGAATCAACCAAAAGATGCACGATGGCTATAATGAAGATGATGATGCCCCCAACCCGGAGCAGGTTCAGTCTTTTGTTTTCTTTCAACCATTTTTTCCTCTCCTCTTTTTCCACTTTCTTTCTTATAAGGGGGAAAGTACAAAAAAGGATCAGAGTATTAAATAATAATAATCGAAAAAATATAATAAATTATTAAAAAAAAATTAAAAATTCAAAAACCTACCGATTTAATAAATTTTCTATTCAAATTATTCTTTCTTGATTAATTTATTTATTTTAGTTTTCTTAATATATTTCTCTCAGTGCACTTACTGATTCAAAAAAAGTATAGAGACGGCGGCGGCTTCTAAGCTCGGCCGCGTGTTAATCACACTTAATCTCATTTTTATTTCTGGGTCAGCATCTTTATATATACATATATATTTTTCTTTTTTTTCCACCATCTCTTTCTCCATCTCTATCTCTGTCTCTATCTTTCATTTATATTTTTTTGTATGCAAAACGAGCTAGACGCCGTGCCACGCCCACCAGCCGCCGTCGCCGCCGCCGCTGCCAGTTGCCAGTTGCCGCCCGCCATGCCGTAAATATCCTTGACAAATCTTTTTGCCCTTTCGACGCGCCAGGCGCAAATAAAAAGACATTAATTCGTTGTCGTTGTCGTTCTCGCTATGTTGCGCTGTTGTGGCTACACAGAGAGAAATATTGGCTACAAAAAAAAAATAAAAAATATTGCTCAAAACATCTACAAAGTCTTGAAGTCTTGAAAGGCTTAAATAAGCCTCAATTTATTTTCTTGAAATATTTAAACCCTAAAACCCATATTTCTAATAAAATATGGCCATATTTCTAAAAAACATTATTTCTCTCACTGTAATGTGTTGCCATTGTTGTTGGCATTTTCCTATGCCATTGTGGGTGCGTTGGCCACGCCTACAACGCCCTCTGCCAGCGCCTTTTTTTATGGGCCAGGTAATTTACGTAACGAACCTGACACTTTCTAATTTATGGCATCGGGCGGGCGGGCGGCGACATCGCTGAATTTTTCGCCGTCTAGGCTTGCCAACCTGTCCCAAAGTTGTTTGCCACACTACCCCCCACACGCCAGTACACCCCCTCCCTCTCTTGCAACACCCCTGTTCCTATCCCTT